TTCATCCTAATAAACAAAAGAAAAAGAGCCCAATATTTTACTGAAATACTGTCTGGCTGTTGAGAGCATAGATAAGATGGACAAGGAGATGGATACAATATCCTTTTTATTTAATGCTGGTCACACAACACACATCATATTCAACACTCAATAACCTACTCCTGTCCTAAGCCTATCTCCCCAAGGCTGCTTACCACTGGACATGTCTTAGTCTGAGGTCAGTCATCCTCTTCTCTAGGTGCTGTCCGAGTCCAGGGCTGGAAAGGTATACAGGAACGTGAAGGGGAGACTCTCAGGCCAGAGGGCTGATTTGGTGGCATCTCAACCAGGTGTCAGTCTTGAAAGCAGTAAAGGTCGAGCAGAGTCCTTTCGGTTCTTGCTCTTCTTGTACTGTGGTCTGGCATCACCACATGGCTGTGTCTTCTGGTTGATAAAGTGCACAGCTGACTTGGGGATTTCCGTGGCATAGCTTATCCCCCCAGAAGCCTTGGGGTATAGTGGGGTTTTCTAAGCTTGATATTCTAGGTTACATTTGATAATTTATTTAGTTTCATTACATGAGTTTTAGGGATTATGTTTCATGTATTTTATTCCATCCATATGCATATAACATTTGTGCTCCTAACACTGGCCTTAATACAAATGGGGTGAAGAATAAATTTAGCCAAAAGATGAAAACTTAAACTTTAATATCGCCAGGCGTGGTGACGCATGCCTTTATTCCCAACACTTGAGAGGCAGAGGCATCGGGAGACATAGGCAGGTGGATGGATCTCTGTGAGTTTGAGGCCAGCCTGGTCTACATAGGAAGGTCCAGGCCAGCTGGGGCTACAGAAAGACCCTGTCTCAAAATAACAACAACAAACAAACCAAACAACAACAAAAAACCACTTTAATATCATCCTAGAGTTGAACGTGTTTTGTAAAAATCAAGAAAAACTGTCTACAGTGCCTTGTAGACACATGGCTCTACCAGAAGAGGCAAGTGCACAAAGAAAATAGCAAAAAGAGGAAATGAAGTCCTACCGAGGGCACACAGGAGTAGAACTTCCTGTCAGATAAATCCTTTTGAAATATACAGACTCCTAGCTTCCACCAACAAAAAGGCTAAGAACACCATCAGATAGCTTCTGAGGCCTATACCAGAGACTTCCCTGCTTGGCTGTTACCTGCCTACCTGATGTTTCCACCAATATATTTGAAAAACTGTCTTGATTTATAACTCTTTTTGGTCTTTTTGAGACATGGTCTCCCTGTAGTCCCAGTCTGGTCTTTATGTCATAGAGATCTGCCTGCCTCTGCCTCCTGAGTGCTGAGACTAAAGGTGTGTGCCAACATGCACTGATTTATAACTTTTTTGGTTCTGTTAGTATAAAAACATCATAAAACTATTATTATGTTAGAATATGGTATTTAGGGGCTGGTATGGTGGTGCACTCTGTGAGCTCAAGGCCAGCCTGGTCTACATAGTGAGTTCCAGGACAGCTAGGGCTGATCCTGTCTCAAAAACAAAATGAAAAACAACAACAAAAGAATATGGTATTTAGGATAACCTAAATTTGTGTCTTTGGCATGGTCAGTCATATTTGGCTCCAAAATAAAACAGGTCTTATTTCCTTTAAGGAAAAATTAGTTATTATGTTTTATCTCAACAGAAAAGTAACTAATATACTGTTGTTAATGAAATAGCTAATAGGTGAATATGAAAGAAAAACTAAATTTACAAACATATACATTCATTGCTTTTAGAAAAACTAAATTTACAAACATATACATTCATTGCTTTTTTTTTTTTTGAGACAGGGTCTTCTGAAGCCCCAACTGGCCTGCCTGGAACTCGACATGTAGACCAGGCTGGCCTCGAACTCTGCCTGCCTCTGCCTCCTGAGTGCTGGGATTAAAGACTAAAGACATGAGCTCCCACATCTGGCATCACTTACATTTTTTAAATTAAAAAAATTTAAATGATTATTTAGTGTGTGTATGTGTGGCCATTCATGTGGCGGTCAGAGGACAACTTTGTAGAGCTGATTCCCTCCTTCCACATTTAAGCGATGCCCTTTGTCCTAGTTTGTTTCTTCATTGCTGTGACAAAATACTCAGACCAATACCAACTTGGGGAGGAAAGGGTTTATTTGGCTTACATCTCCCTGGTCACAGTTCATCAGGGGGTCTAAGGTAGGAACTCAGGGCAGGAACGTGGAGACAGGAGCTGGAGCACAGGCCATGGAGGAACACTGCTTACTGGCTTGCTCCCCTGGCCTCTGCTCAGCTTGCTTTCTTATACAACATAGGCCCACCTGCCCAGAGGTGGCACCACCCACAGTGGGCTGGGCCCTCCCACATCACTCAACAATCAAGAAGATGCCCCATAGACATGGTCACAGGCCAGTCTAATGGAGGAAATTCCCCAATTGAGGATCCCTCAACCCAGATGTGTCAAGGTGACACTAACCCTATCCAGCACACCCTTCTTTAAGTTATTCCATCTTATGTAAAATAGTGGTTTTTCAGGCTGTACTTTGTCCTGAGAGACTTCATTTTACAAGCAGGTTTTAATCCATTTTGAGGATAGAGGATGACTGAACTCCTGGGTGGGTAGACAAGTAAACACTGCCGTCTGTCCAGCAAAACCTATGCAGCACGGACTGATAAATTACTTACTCCTCGCAGTAAAGAGGGTGCCAGTCTATAAATTTAATGGGGTGAAGTGAGCCTGCAGGGGCACATGGAAGTATTAAAATTATATAAAGGAAACCAGACCCAAGAATTACTGGACATGCCAGACCAAAAAAAGGTATAAGTCCCTTACCTGGACTCTAAAAAGTGGTGGACATCTAGCGCTGGGATAGTAATGGCACCACAGTGACTTGTCATCTGATAACCAGTGTGTTCCTGAGGCTTGAGCTTGCTCAGATCCCTCAACTGCATCTGTCCATCTACCTGCTTGCCCATCTGGACATAGATCTGCTCTTCTAGCTTTGGGCTTGGTTCTGTGTCTGTAGCTGACCACATTTTCACTTTCAACCCTGACTCTCCAGAGGTCTGAACATCAGCTTCACTTCTTTCCCAAGACTGGATTGGGTTTGTTAACATATCAATACAGACGCTATTGCGTTTCTATTAGCCTACTTCTGAAACCCCTTGAACTCTGCTGTAGCTTCTTGTAACTTGTAATCATTCCGTAACCACTGTTAGGGAAAGAGGAATTTACTGCTTGTTTGAATATACTGCTTGTTTGAATTTACTGCTTGTAAACAATTAACTCAGCTGGAGACACAGGCATCCGGAGATAGGGGCAAGTTGTCTGGTCTGTGTCATATCTGTAGGCACGTCTGCTTACACAAGATAACAGAAAAGAGTCGTACCAGGCACATACCAATGATCTCTCCCCGATTGAGACACCTGAAGGGAGTTGTAACATTTTTCTTGTTTTAAAGTTATTGGTTTGTGAAATGCTTGCTTTGAAACTATTGGCTGTATAAACACAGGCTTTTGTGTAACGGTTGTGGGAGCCTATATAATCTTTACCTAAAATTGCCTCAGGGTCGATCGCTCTGACCAGACCTGCGTGTTTTGGGAAGGACGGTCGGCCCTAGCTAGCTGGTTTAATAAAACTCTGCTTGATTCTTGCATCTCCATACTCGTGCATTGTTCTCCAGAAGAGATCCACTGAGTCACGGACCCTAACACCACATACATATATACAGACATTCATTTTGTATATATGTGTATATATATATATATGTGTGTGTGTGTGTATTCTCATATGTGATATGAGAATATTAATAATTAAGATCAGAGTAAAAGAATCTGCATTCACCTTGGCCAGATTGCCAAGGAAGGTAGGATTATCTGGCAAATTGCTGCCAATGAAATTACTGTACCTTGTAAATTCGTTTATTATTTATTTGAGACAGGTCTCACTATGTACCCCTAGCTTACCTGGAACTCTCTATGTAGGCCAGGTTGGCCTTGATCTCACAGAAATCTGCCTGCCTCTGCGCCTCTGCTTCTGAAGTACTAGGATCAAAGGCATGAACCACCACACCTGGCTATACTCAGTCTTTTTTTTTTTTAAACATTTTTTAAATTTAATTTTTAAAAATTTTATGTGTATGCATGTATTGCCTGCATGTAGCAGGCAATACACATTGCACCCGTGTCATGAAATGCCCACGGAGGTTAGTAGAGGCTGTTGGATCCCCTGGGACTGGAGTTATGGACAGTTGTTAGCTGCCACGTGGGTGCTGGGATTCAAACCCAGGTCTTCTACAAGAACAACCAGTGTTCTTAACTGCTGAGCCATCTCCCCAGTCCTTACACTCAGTTTTTAACTACAACTTATTTTAAGCCTTTTACAAGGACCAAAAGGTAATAAAATAGTTTTTAAATATAAAAATAAACAAATGAAGTTCCTACATGATAATCTTCATAGTTTGGGAAAATGAAGACTTACAAAATTGGTTAGTTACCTTATAATCTCTACTGAAATCTTAAATAATGTAAACATTGAAATGAGAAGTCAAGACACAACAAGCACAGCAGCACTTGTAAACCACTTAACAGGTCAAATACTCGAAAATGTTCTCTAGTATTAAGAAAAAAAGTGATCAAAAGGTAGGAAATATGAACCACAGAGAAGCATTAACAGAAAATGGCTTTTGCTTTTCTTTTAAATATTGAGTTTAACGATCAGAGACCCTAAATCTAACATTAGCTTTTTGTGTCTTGATAACTATATACATACACCGAAGTAGATAATAAAACTCCGATATTATAACATTATTTACAACAAAATGTATTACCCACTAGCACTTATCGCAACAGAAAAATTAGTCTATCTAAGCCATGACAAAACTTATGCATATTTCATATGGACCCAAAGCCCAGAAATCATAGGAAAGGATTTCTACACACATGTAAAACCTAAAATCAGCATGTGCGCGCGCGCATGCGCGCGTCGTGATGCGCGACTCTATTTCCCACAATTCTTCCTATACTTCCGGCGTGGTCCGGGAGCACCGGACCGCTTGGCTTCCGCGTTCGGGCCTGGCGCTGAGGTGTAGGCGGCGGTGGCGGCGGCTGCGGCGGTGGCGGCGGCGCGGGGTGCGGGCTGCGGGAGTGGGGCTGCCGGCATGGACGTTTCGGGGCAGGAGACCGACTGGCGTAGCACCGCCTTTCGGCAGAAGCTGGTCAGCCAGATGTGAGTGTATGCGGGGGCGGGGGCGGGGGCTGGGTGGGCCGACCTGCGGGATCGGGAGGGCGAGGCCGGGAAGACCATACCCGACCCGGGCGGGAACCTGTGGGTTCCCCCAGGCGCCGGGCGTCCCGCGCGAGTACCAGGCGGGGGCCTCCCCCTGGCTCCTGTACCTTCCTTGGTGGATCCGGACTTGCTGACTAGCTCTTCTGGGGCGGAACTCTGCAAACCCTGGAGCCCTGGCTAATGAGTCATCGTCCAGAGCCGCCTTCGTCATGTGTGTTCTTGAGTGCAGACCTAACAATGATTCGCACTGAATACAGAAAGCAAGCAGCAGCATCCCCAGGTCTGTCAGCGTAGCGCGCGCTTCGTGGTTTCTTTTACACCCCCTCCGCCCCCCATCAAAAAATCCCACCTCCAACAGTGAAATTGGAGGAGGGTGGATGGAAGATGGAAGATGAGGTGTTTGGGCTGTAGACACAGAGAAAAGTGCTCCCTCCGCTTCCCCCTTCCCCAAGAGGTGTGAACTTGGTCTGAGGGTGACAGGAAGCCGTAAGGGCACCATCTAGGCTCTGGAGTAGGGAATAGAGAGCGGGTTAGTAGTGGCTTCTGTCCACGGACCACAACCCCCGTGCTTGTTTCACTTAGCCTCTTCCTGCGCTTCCTGGAGTGTTGTATTTGTTAGAAATGAAAACTGCTTGCGACACAGTTCCTTCCCTGAGGGATGGTACTGTGGGTAAAGGAACAGAGAAAGTACGGTTGTGCTAGTGCCTAATCATGTCGTGAGTGCTAAAGCAGGACAGTAGCAGTCTGGTAGAGTAGGTGACAGATTGAGTCCTAGAAAGAAAAGGAGGATGACAGGCCATCATTCTCAGCAGAGGATTGGGGCCGCATGAGTTCTTACTGGATGAAGGAATGTGTTGACGGTAAAGAGTTCTGGGCCTGGGGAGCAAGGACGGTCAGGAGTTACTGGAATGAAGGTGAGCAAGTACTGGCGAGGTTAGTGATAGGGGTGTTGTGCTAACAACTTGAAGCTGTATTTTACATGTGGGCTGCTTTGAGGTGGTGAAACATTAGTGTGGGGAAGGACCCCCTGAAGATGAATCAAGGACGTAAGAGAGGCCAAGTGGGCCATGTGGGGAGGTTTTTACTGGCGGGGGGTGTGTGTGGGGGGTGGTGTTAGTGCCTGGCCTTTTTCTCTTGTGTTTTCACTGCTGGATCACTGCCTGTCATACTGCTTCATAAACTGGTTGTGAAAGACTTTGTCGGCAGGAGATTATAGAGGCCTTCATTAGACAGTGGTGGAAACTGAAAGAGGAAGACAGATTCCAGAGAAAGGGAATTATGTGAACAGCCCTTGGTGACTAACTGAATGGATTGGGTGGGGTGAAGTGGTGTGGAAGGAAGGAAGCTGGACTATACAGTGGAAGGAGTGGGGCTGTCACTGGCTGGGTACCACCACACAAATAACCCGTGGGCAATTTTGCAGACATTTAGACAAATAAGTGCTTTATTGGTGCACTTGAGTTATTTCTTGGTGAAATCTTGAGATGATAACCTGGTTTGGTTAGGGACTCTTGGTTAGAAGAGCCCCAGGGCAAGGATTCTTCTTTGGGAAAGCCCAGTAATATGGATCTGGAAGGGTGAGTTTTCGTCATAGAAGGTGGGAGGGCTGGGGAAGTGTCTGAGGTTCAAGGGGGGAGATTGAAGGGTTTCTGGGTATTAAAACTGAACTAGGTACTTAATAGTTCAACTTCCATGTGTATCTAGGGGAACTGAGGTGCCCTTCAGCCCTGTAAGACATTGCTGCTTTTGTATTTTTTCCTATTGCTGTGGTAACAAATCACACGTTTAGCATCTTAAAATGACACAGATTTATTATCTGGTCATTGCTTTACATCAGAGGGTCAGGTAATCTTTGGAGAGTGAGTTAACACGGTTGAAATTAAGATGTTGGCAATATATACTTTTTGATGGAGGCTCTGGGGGAGAATCTACTGTCAATCCCATTTAAGTTGCTAGCCAAATTCTGTTCCTTGTACTTTTAAGATTGAGGAATCCTCTTTCCTCCCTGGCTGTTTGCCAGGGGTCAGTTTTTGTTCCTAGAGACTGTTCCTTCTTATGCTTTCTTTGTGGCCCATTCTAACTGGCTGGTTTTTCTCATATATCTCAGACTTCAGTTAGAGACTATTCTCTGCATTTCACAGCTCAGTTCAGGTTACTGCAAGATAATCTTTTTGTCTATATTCTTAATTACAATGATTAAGTCCCTTTTTTCTGTATGGTGTAGCATATTTTCAGGTTCCAGAGATTAGGGCCTATATTTCTGGGGAAGGGACCACGTTTGGGCAAGCACTTTCAAAGGCTGCCTTTTAAGGGGAGGTAGGTGAATTCAGGAGGTAGGTTTACTTATTTCTCTCTAGGTTTCATTTTCCTGATGCCTTGATTCATTGTGGTTCTAGAGTTTAAGAGGGCTTGTGTTGGAGTATTGTACATATCTTTACTTTTGACTTCTTCAGTGTTTATGCTGTTGCTTAAAATTGGCATTTGGGGAATCACTTTGAACCCAAGGGATTTGTAGTAGATGAGGGAATAATGAAAGCTTAGGGCTGAAGTAATAGCTTAGTAGAAGCCCCGGGTTCTGTTGTCAGGGGCGTTGGGGAGAAACATACCAAAACAGTGGGAAGTTTCTGGAACATTTTAGTGGAAAGGAGGTATCGCCTATTGAGGAAAAAGCAAGTTGACAATCCTAACATGGAGTCTAGTTTTCTGGGCCTTTCCAAGACTGCTTCATCCTCCAGCAGCACGATGAGCGATGTCGACCCCCCCAAATCATTATAAAGCATTCTGCTGCCCTGCACTCTGGCTTATCTTTTTGTAGCTTCCACCCCGGTCCAATGTCTCTAGTCTTTCCACTCCTTTAACATTCCAAGTTTTTTTACTTTATTTCTTTGTTTTTAGTTGTGAGAGAGTGAACTCGGGGATTTGCACATGCTGAACATAGACCTCTGCTACTGTACCTCCAGCCCCTGTTCTCTTTCAAAACAACTGTGTTACTGCGGTGTGGGTGTGGTGGTGCACACTTTTAAAATATTTTATTTATTTTTATTTTTTAATTTATTGTATTATTTTTATTTTATGTGTACATGTGTATTGCCTGCATGTAGTTAAGTGTACCTGTGTTGGGCAATGAATGCCTGCGGAGGACAGAAGAGGCTGTCAGATCCCCTGGAACTGGAGTTATGGACAGTTGTTAGCTGCCATGTGGGTGCTGGGATTCAAACTCGGGTCTTCTGCAAGAACAGGCAGTGTTCCTAACCACCGAGCCATCTCTCCAGCCCCATATTTATTATTTTTATTTTATGTATATTGTATTGCCTGCATGCTTGTAAGTATACCCAAGTCATGCAATGGCCACAGAGTTCAGAAGGGGGCGACAGATCCCCTGGAACTGGAGTTACAGATGTTAGCTGCTTTGTGGGTGCTGAGAATTGAACCCTGGTCCTCTGTATGATCAAACAGTGTTCTTAATTGCTGCTCTATCTTTCCAGCTAGGACTACAGGGAGACCCTGTCTCAAAAAAACAAAACAAAACAAAAAACAGCTGTGTTACCAAGTATGTAGGATATGTAGAATCAGGTGGATTTCTGTCCCTGTTGTAATGAAGCAACTCCTTTAGGTGTCTGCTTCAGTGTCATATATTTAGGATCCCTTCCCTACCTCTTCATGTGCAGCGGGTCACCCTCTGATAGGTTTTAATTCAGACCTTTTCAGTTTCTCAGGCAACTTCAGTCCCCTGCAGCATGAAAAATGCAGGAGGAAGTATTTTCCTGGGAAACCTCCTGGGCTACTTCTCATATTACAGTGGCCATTGATGATGTGAAGCTTTGGACCACTACCCTTCTCTACTCTAACTATGCGACCTTGGTACTGCTCAACTTTTCTAGATCTTGTCTCTCGTCTATGAAATAGTAGCGTCCAGTCTGTCTCACAGGGATGAGGGGAGGGACAGTAAAGAGACTTTCATGCAAGCCTTATAGAGGTCTGGGAACTGAGAGGAGACCTCCTCCAGTGATTTTGCAGGGATAGGAGATTCTGTAACCTGGGCTGGTGAAGGTGGTATCCCCAAGCCTAGTTAAGGGAATACAATGACATTTCAAGGACACTGCAGAAGGAAAGTAGCAGGGAAACAATTAGTTGGTTCAGATTGGCTTTTCATTAAACACCCACATTTCCTTTAGAACCACAGAAATCATTCTTAGATTCCCCTGAGCTGGCCTTTGTGGGGCTTGGGCCTTCTTTTGAGGGGGGTGTTGTTGGATTAATGTTACATGTCTCTGGTCTTCAGGCTCCTGGAAAACAAATCTGTTCTGACATGCACCATACATGCCTAACATGAATAGGTTCACAGAAATTATACAAGCAGTGAATGAATGAAAGGCTTTCATTCAGTCACTTGCCTGTTTTTCGTGTGTGTGTGTATGTGTGCGTGTGTGTGTGTGTGTGTGTTTGTGTGTGTAAAAGCCAGAGGTTGGCATTGAGTGTCTTCTCCAATTATTCAATTTTTTTTTTTTAAATTGGGGTCTCCCTGTAGCCCCAGCTGCCCTGGAACTTGCTATGTAGACACTAGACTGGCCTATATCTCTCAAGAGATCTGCCTGCCTCTGCCTCCCATGTGCTGAGGTCCAAGGTCTGTGCTACCACACCTGGCTGTCATCCTACTCTGGAGACTTTTATTCCTCTCACACTTTAGTAATAAATAACTGTTCTAAATAAATGCACTTGTAGTAAATAAATATACTAAACAATGCAGAAGGGAGGAAACGTAGCTCTGTATTAGTGTTCTGGTGAGGTGTTAGGAGAGGGCCAAGGAAAGCATGCAGTGGGACCAGGGAAGACAGGTCAGCTACCCCATCTGGTGAAGCCGCCAGGAAGATGTGAGCCTTTTGGTTTCACACCTAGAAAATAGGCTGAGTTTGGCTTGGACCACAAGCGAAAAATCAAAT